ACTCGTAAATACAGTATTGCCTTAACCAGAAAAATGCCTCTGTAAACCCGATACTTTTTAATTATTTTATAGGTTCTGTGCTTGTGTAATTATTGGAATTTTAATTATGGCTTAAATGATTCACTCAAAACATATGAAAAGGAAGAAAATAGGGTGCTGAAAGATAAAAATAAGAGTACTGTACAGGAAACTGCATGTCCTGGACTCTACTAAGAGTACACCAACCAGATATTGTAGGAGTTGTAGAACTGTTGTACAAGAACAGGAGAATCGACCCAGAGGAATGTGAGTTCAGTATTGCTGGATATGACTCACTTACGAACCTAACTCAAGAATCCTGCAGGAGGGGTGTGGTTATCTATGCTAGGCAAGACCTTAGAGCCAGCCAGGCGAGGGTACAGGGAGAGGATGTTTTTGAAGAGTCCAAGTGGTGTAAAATTAAATTAAAGGGAGAGGACTTACTTATCGTTGAGTGTATCTACAGATCCCCAAACTGTGGCCCACTAAATCAAAGGAACTTAAGAATCTTAATAAACAATGCGGCGATGCTCAACCCTAGCCACCTCCTTATCATGGGGGACTTTAACTATGGCGACATAGACTGGAGAAACGAGTCCACCCCGAATGACTTGAATAACCCTGCTACTCTTTTTGTAGAAACTCTGAGAGATAATTTTCTGTTCCAACATGTGAGAGACCCGACACATTACAGAGGGGAGCAAACACCCAAACCACTTGACCTCATCATAACAAACGAGGAGGGTATGGTGGCCAAACTGGAACACCTGGCACCAGTCACCATACAGCTGTTGTCATCCAGATTTAACTGTTGCCTAGTTCAAGATAAGGCCAGGCCAAGGTGCAAATATTACAAGGGAAATTACAATGGGATGAGGGAAGCGATGAGGGGTATCAACTGGCCTGACTTATTATGGTACAAGAACGCAGACACTACGCTGAATAACATAACTAGTAAAATGACCCATTTGATCGATAAATATATACCCAAGACTAAACCCAGTGCTTCTAAGAATACGAGGGGATCACTACACATGAACCATGCGGCGGTCGACAAAATTAAGAAGAAAACCCAGAAATTCAAGACGTGGGTTGGGTCAAACGATGAGCAAGACAGGAGGATGTATGCAAGAGCCAGAAACCAAGCAAAGAGTAGGAGGGCTGAAAAGGAGTTCCAGAGGCTGGTTGCACGCGAGGTCAAGTCAAACCCAAAGGCGTTTTACCGCTATGCAAAGTCGAAATTGAAAACGCGAATAGGAGTATCAGACCTGAGGCTTGAAGATGATAGTTACAAGAGAGGATGCAACTAACCTTCCTGCGTTTGAGGACAGACGGTTCAACACAGCACTGACCCACATTGTGTTCACAGAAGAGGGTATTAGAAATAAACTGTCCAGGCTAAAGGTCCATAAGAGTCCCGGACCTGACATGGTGCATCCTAGAGTGCTAAGAGAGCTGTGCAACGAGCTTGCAGAGCCCCTGAAGATCCTGTTTTGTAAATGCCTGGATGAACAAATGGTCCCCAGTGAATGGAAAGTGGCTTATGTGAGTCCTATCTTCAAGAAGGGCGATAGTCACTCCACGAACAACTATAGACCGGTGAGCCTGACCAGCATAATATGTAAAGTACTTGAGAGTATTATCAGAGATGCCGCAATGGAACATCTACTACGAAACAACCTTGTAAAAGATTGCCAACACGGTTTTATGCCGGGGCGCTCTTGCTTAACACAATTGCTCAAGGTATTGGATATTTGGACCCATATTCTGGAACGGGGTGGTAATATCGACAATATTTACCTAGATTTTGCCAAGGCTTTCGACAGTGTACCCCACGAAAGGCTGAAAATCAAACTGGAAGTGTACGGAATTCGGGGAAATGTCCTAGCGTGGATAGAAGACTTTCTACATGACCGCAAGCAGTGTGTGTGTGGTGATTAATGGCACGAAATCGTCATCTGTACCTGTAACAAGTGGGATACCACAGGGCAGTGTATTGGGCCCGCTGTTTGTTTGTTTGTTTCATAAATGACATGCCTGAACGTTGTACACTCCTCCATACAAATGTTTGCCGATGATGGCAAGTTATTTCGAGAAATTAAGAACCAAGCGGACTGTGAAGAGCTGCAGAAGGACCTCTGTGGGCTCCAGGAATGGTCGAAGGAATGGCTGCTGAGATTCAATGTCACGAAGTGTAAGAGGATGCACCTGGGGCGTACCAACGGTAAGGAGGCGTATCATATGTCCCAACGGGATGAAGAAAATGCACTAGTTGAGACTGTGTGTGAGAAGGACCTAGGTGTGTATGTTGACAATGAGCTGAAGTTCTCGGGCCATTGTGAGAAGAAGGTAAATCAGGCAAATAAATTATTGGGTCTTATAAGAACGTCGTTCATATATCTAGACGGTCCGTCTGTCGTAACAATCTTCAGGAGTGAAGTGCTTCCCCATCTGGTCCCCGAGATATGCTAGGGACTGTCAGTTGGTTGAAAATGTTCAAAGGAGGGCCACTAGACTGGTGCCTGCACTTCGGCACCTCTGCTACCCTGAGAGATTGGAGCGCCTGAACTTGCCTAGCTTATACTACAGACGGGCAAGAGGGGGGACCTAGTTGAGGTGTATAAGCATCTCAGGGGACACTACTCAGTTGAGTGTCCTTACTTGGAGCTGGCGGACGCTTGCCCCACAAGGGGTCACAGCTCAATATTGAAGAAGCCGCAAGTCCAGAAAACCGTGAGGGCAAACTTTTTCGGAGTGAGGGTTGTAAACTCTTTAACAATCTACCAGAGAGTGTTGTGACGGCACCGAGTGTGGGCTCTTTCAAGAGAAGACTTGACCAACACTGGAGCGGGTTCAGGTACATTCAGGAGCCGGTGCATGCTCAGTATTTGCCAACAGTGCGTGACAGAGACGTGACCGATCGCCCGGGTGGCTAGCGAGCCGATCTTTTGGTGAAGAATATAAATGAAAAGAGACGTGACCGATCGCCCAAGCGGCTAACAAGCCGATCAGTGGCGAAGAGGATAAAAGTAAAAAGTAAGAACATAAGAATGGAGGAAACTGCAGCGCCGCAGCGGGTCTATTGGCCCATACGGGGCAGCCCCATTTACACCCAACCCCTATTGCTCATACAGGTATATCCATCCAACCTATGTTTGAAGCTATCCAGCGTATTCTATTTCATGATGATATATGGTAACTTGTTCCACTCGTCCACTACTTTATTTACAAACCAATGTTTACCTACATATTTCACGCCTAAATTTACATTTGTCTAATTTAAAACCATTGTTACGAGTTCGTTCCTGGTTGGATAGTTTGAGTTCCTTTGTAATGTCACTTTTGTTTAACCCTGACTTCCATTTATACACCTCTATAATAAGCCCCCTCACTCTTATACTGTATACAGGATTTACATAACCTAATGCAATGAAGACATTCCCCTGAAACTAGATGTAAGGAAGATCTGAGTGTCTAGTCTAGTCTGTTGATAATGACCTAAATTTCTCGAATCATTGTGAGAAGGTGAATCTTAGAAATGAATTGACTGGGTTTATTGAATATAGTACCCTGTACAAAGATCTTACACATCAGGGTGTAGTGCTTCTTCACTTGGAGACTGTATTGTAATACTGTTTGGCCTCCAAGATATACCAAAGACTGGCAAATGACTGAGAAAGCCCAAAGAAGAGCCACCAAACTTGTGCTAGCACCCATTTTTGAGTCTGTTTAGACAGTCAGCACTGAACCACATGCTCTTGGCTATGGGTGACCATCACCACAAGAGAATGTACAATACTGTACAGTACAGTATTGGCATGGCAAACTGCATTTCTTTATGGATGATATGAAATGAGGAAATAACTAGATAACTCAGATGTTTACCATATTGTATAATTATGAAATTAAAGACAATCTCCCACAGACTTTGTTCACAGAAGTAGTGGATGAATATGACACGACTGTCTTCTAAACAATAGTAACTAAAATTCATGGATTACCGAGTTAAATCTTGCTGATGGGACTAAACGTTTATGAAGACTCTACACATATTTAAATGGTCCATATAATCTCACATGAGGTTTTTTTTTTTAAAGTGCTTCCTCACTTGGAGCACTAGTGTATAATTCTCTTTGGTCTCTTAAGATACACCAAAGACTGCTAATTAATTGAGAACGTCCATTTGGACACCTCACTTAAGAGAGTTGAATGTCTACAATTTAGTAGAAGTTTTCAAGCACCTCAAATGGCATATTATTCAAATGTACATGTCTGGAGTTACAAATGGCCACCCTACGTGACAGCCGCAAGTTAAAGAAGCTGTCACTACAGTATAGTGTAGTGCTGAAGCTTTGTTACATGTTAGTCAATGAGTGTGAAATTTAATAATCTAGTAATGTCAGATCAGCTTGCCATTCTTGCCTCTGGACTTGTGTTGCTGAGCATTTCCAAAATCCAAGGCACTGTATGTATAGTTCTTTATTGGTCATATCATAGTGTTGTACATGTATTTTGGTTAAAAAGTCGTTAGGTTAGATTATTGATGATAGTTACCCAGGAAACAATTCTAGTAGGTTGTGAAGCATTACAGGACAATCTCTTATCAGCTTCAAAATGGTTAAAGGAATGGATGCTGAGATGCAACATTGTGTAGTGAAAGATATCCTTAGCTGTCAAGTACTGCAGTAATTACTGGCGAATATTGTGACAGCACTAAGTGTAGTCTCCTTTAATTCCAGGCATGATAAACAATGAAAAGTGTTTATCATTCAAGAGCCCATTCATACATATACAGTACAGTACAAATGCAACTGAATTTTTACTTGCGCTAATAAACTAATTTATGTTATTCCTTGCTACCCCTGAAGCTGCAACATAAATTTGAATATTTTCTAGTTTTAATAATATTTTCTAGTTTACTGTTATCTTCAGATTGATTTGTAGACTTTAATTTAGGATTTTAAATGACGCGCAGTGGCATGGTCTGGCAATGGGGTGTGTGGGGCGCCCGTCCAGCTGACTGGTGTCGGGCCCGTCGGCTTCAGGTCCAGTAAGAGTACCTCGTTGAAAGTGTAAAGGGTCGGTCAACGCGAGCTTCTCCAGTATGTATATTACACTGTATTATGTTGCTAACCTAATGTAAGAGGCTATTACGTTTAGATTGTGTGTGTGGCCGGCGTAGAGGTGCTAGAGAAAGCTTCAGTGGTAGTGATTTCTTGGTGAAAGTATTGGCCTAGTTTGGAGGATGCTTTCCCTGGCGTTAAAAACAATAACAAATGATTATATATTTTTGCTTTTTGGTGTAGTAAACATAACGCCGTATATCAAGGGACATTACCAGATCATTGTCCTGGTGAAGGTGTAGAACTATTGTGATTAATTAAGAATATTAATAAAGCAGTTTTAGTACTGTACCGGGAGGTGTTATTGGGTAGATACAAGTAAATACTTATATAGTATACTATTTATTTCTTGAAACGTCATGATTATTAGATACTCGTCACCGAAGAAGTAAGTCGCTGTATATTTGTTAGTTTAGAAGAATGATATGCCGATTTTTATTATTATTTTTTGAGGGGGGGTTGTGAGAAACTACATGAAAATATAAGGTTTTAACTGCTTTCTTGGACATTACATGGCTTTATCAACTTATATTTGCACTGTATGTACACACTGAAACAATGTGAACTTGTAATTTACAGAATAAATATCTAAATCTCAATATTTCAGCAACTTTTATCACAAGGAACATAATCTTAGGTAAGAGAAATGTGAGTGTTAAGTACCGTATAATATAGCAATGCCTGTTTAATTTTGGGCTAATATGGAGGACTTCAATACTTATTTATAACTTCACAGCCGCTTATTTTTCATTGAAAACTAATTTAAAATCTCCACAATTTCACTGTTTTATAGTTATGACAAATGTATTAAAAAGTGGTTACAGTGAATTTATAGTATCACACCGGTCTTTATTCCGTATTAAAAATATGTATCTCGTAATGTTTTCACAATTCTAAGACATTTTTCTTCTGTGATATTTTCACCGGAAATTAAGGATAACCGAGATATTAATTTGTCAAGATAATTACTTTCGCTCAGTCACAAGTGTCACCATGATTTGTTTACTCATAGTGGAGGTGGTCTGATCCCCTGCTCACGCATCGCTCCAGGCCTCTGTCTTGCTTTTAAGCGTCTGGGGCATGAACAACGGGTTAGGTTTTCTTGGTTGGTTGGTAATATAATTTGTTATTTATTCTAAAAAAGAAATCCAACTTCTTCCGTTATGATTGTTGGGTGGTACCTAAATAACACGTGATTTCCGGTGGAAATGAATATAAAATTCATTCGAAACTCATCAAAATATATAGGAAATTTTTTTTTAATATCGCAATAAGGACTGGTGTGATACTATAAATTAACCGTGGTTACTTTAATTTAAACCTAACCTAACTTTAATTGATGAGAAAATAAGCAGCAGAAGCGTTGTTAGAGGACCTCATCAACTTAACCAAAGAAACCTAACATGACTTCCTAGCTGTGAGGTTCAATCTTCCGGTTCCCCTGGCATATTAAACAGAAAGAACTTACTATTATTTAGTCTAGTTTGATGCATTTTGTTGACGTGAGAACAGAGACCTGTTCCTTGTGGCTCTTAAACATACACTGCGACTGGCGTCGATTGGAGACGATTGGCTGTGTACTGCCGCATCACACCGAGAAAGACAAAGTACAGTAGTCTGCGCCAGACAAAGTAGTGCGCACCTAGTCACCTATTAAATTCTCTACCAAATGAAGCAATTTCCATAAAAATGATTATTATATCACAACGCACTGATGAAATTATAGTAAGATTATAAGCATAAACACACATAGCTCTTTGGCTGTGAAGTACTCAATATTAGCTTAATAATAACTTTTTATGTTAATTGCTTCATTTGGTTGATAATTAGGCAACTAGACGTGCACTACTTTGTCTGGCGCATACTACTTTGTCTTTCTTGGCGTGATGTTTTGGTAAACAGCCAATCGTCTCCGATCGACGCCAGTTGCTGTTTATGTTTATGAGCCAAACAGATCAGGCAGCTGCTCTCACGTCCACAAAAATGTAAAATTACACCATAAAATAGTAATTTTTTTCTGTTTAATATGCTGGGGGTCTGGAGGGTAGAGCCTCACAGCTAGGAAGTTAGGTAAGGTTAGGTTGGTAAGGTCTTCTAACAGCACTTCTGCTGCTTGTTTTTCTTGTCAACTAAGGTTAGGTTAGGTTTAATTTATAAATAACCACTTTTTAACACATTTGCCATAACTATGACACTGTCCGCTATAAAACACGGTGAAATTGCAGCATTTTAAAATTCTTTTTCTATATAAAAAATCAGCAGCTGTGAAGTTGTACATAATTAATGAAATTAAGAAAAAAAGCTAATGAAGTGTCCTTTTCATTTTCTAAAATTAGTTTATTTTATAATTGCTCATCTTTGTTTGAGCTGTGTGAAATTTAGAGACACTACAGGAGTTGAGCTGCATGAGATTTGTTTATATCTTAGTGTAGACAAAATGGTGTTCCACATTCACTAGCTCATTTATTGTAATATTTTCAGTTGATATTTAGTTCATATTGGTTCATCATGTAGCTACTGTACATAAACTGAAACTGTAGCGGCATACAAAATTCTCATTGGGTTCCTGAGATGGGGTTGAGATGGCTTATCATATTATATTGTCAATATAGAAGCATGGCATTTAGACTAACTGAGATTGATGGAATCTTTGCGTTATACAGTACGAGATTCATTGGGAAAAAACAAAAACATTTCTCTTGCTGCAATATTTTCAGCTGTATAATATGGTACTGTACTTTATTTCAGTTTTGAATTGTTTTGGATAGTACAGTCTATCCTCGACTTACGACGGGGTTCCGTCCTGACGACCAGGTCGTAAGTCGAAAAGGCGAAAATATTACATAGAAATTGTAAAATGGGTGTCTCTTTTTCTACTCAGCACCACGAGAACTCTCACTTTACGCTTGCCAGCCATTTTAAAGAGAATTACAAACGAAAATTTTGTCAGTACACAGCGCGATCACTAACGTCGGGACTTGAAAATACGTAATGTGAAAAATATTTTATACGACCATGGCGGTCTTATGTCTGGGTTGTCGTAAGTCGAGGAGAGACTGTATTACTGACTCACATGAAAAAGTAATTTATACCCTTTATTGTAATTATATACGTACTATACATTATAGCTTATTTATAGGAATTTTTAATTGAAACTACTCGAATCTTATTGCTATTTATTGTGAAAACCTACAAGTGTATGAAAGAGAAAACATTTAAGTCACATTTATCCTTGAGTATTTATTTAAACCCATTATATGACAGGGAAATTATGAGGTTAAAATAATTGAAGAATGTGTATTGAATTCAGTGCAGTATATTAACACAATCATTGGAATATAGTGAAACCTCCATTTAACAAACTTCTCCTTCCATATAATCTGTTAGATGGGTATTTTACATCTAATGGAACCTTGGTACAGGTATTATGGACTTTTATCTCTCTATACAGTGGTTTGTAACATGGAGGTTTCATATCTTAGGGGCCCTTGATATAAAGGACCTTCCTTTCCATATAGTAGTTGATTAAATAGAGGTTTCACTGTTCCCGAATTTAAGCTAAGTTGTACCCCAAAGGAATCTCATGAAGATACCGTATGCAATCACCACTTATTTCACCTGATGGTTAAACTTGCTAACCTAAAAATTCTTAATATAGCCTAACCTCTCCAGGTAGCATTAGGGCATTTACCATAATCATGATATGAAATAAGTGAGGGTTATGTTTTATACATTAAGTATATAGGTACATACAATAGATGTTAAAACCTACAGTTCACAGAATTTGGGCAGATGAACCGTACAATACTATACAGTAGTTAGGTGAAGACTACCTTCTAAAATGGGACTATAAGGTGTCAAAACATTTTTAGTCTGGGATTTTATCAGCTGGTCCTTACACTGAGAGCATAAGGGTTCTTTGAACCTCAGATAACACGTATTGGACTTTGCTATAAAAAACTTATCCTGATATTGCCCTTTTTCAGGTTATAGTTAAGAAACAATTCTGATAAGCAAGAGTCAGAGGTGAGTCTTAGATAGTGGAGAGATTAGCTACATTACAGATGCAGTGTTATGCCTTACAGTATAAGATTGGGTAACTTTGGGTAAGAATCTTCTTGGTGCTGTTTATACTTTATCGTGATAAACTTTTGATACATCAAATCTTGAACAGAAATTATTATTATTATTATTTTTTTGCTCTGTGTCCTCTTCATGAGTTGACCTATGACCCCATGAATTGACCTTTAATCCAATGCCCCCCTGATATTCAAGTGTATAGACATATATTACTGTTCATTATATTTACAGTATTTGGTTTGAAAGTAAAAGCAAAATACTGTTGTGAAATTTTCCATTTATATACAACTTTTCTTTAATATGACAGAATCCATGTTTCAAACCCACATAAATACTGTATAGTTAAAAATATATATCTATTAAATAAAGTCATCATACAAGTTTATATTGAATCAGCATGTACCATATATAGATTATGTAGAAACAGTACTGTAGTGATACATTTTGATACATACAGTAAGCCAACAAAGCCATCAGTTCTTATCATTGCAGTATAGCTACAGTACAGTACTGCATAACATTCAGTGGTTAGCGATATAGAAAATCGTACTTTTCTCTTGCTCTAACGTCATCAGCTAGCTATGTATTATTTAGTATTGTAATACTTTAGATGTCAGACTCATGGGGAGGAATCACTTTAGGGAAATTTCCTATAGAAGAAATGTTAGAAAATTTGATTCTTTCTTCATGAATAGAAATTAATGTATGAAGGAAATGCAAATTTCCTACTACAGTACTGTATCAGTTCCCCTTGTTTTGTTAGAGTAAATATGATATGTGCTGTTTCAACTGCAATGTTTGCCTGTTTCTCTCTGTACACAATATGTAAAGACAAATTGATCCTTGACAACCAAACTAAAACTGCCTATAGTAGATAAAAAAATAAAGCCTTTCAGTTC